TTCAACTTTTCTTTGATGACATCGCCTTTGGTTCGTTCACTTTTGAGTATAATAAATAATTTGCGACAAATTAAATTAAATTCCAATTTTTTTATTCGAAAAGAACACTACAATAACTTCCCAGTCAACTATATCAGGATAAACTGAATGACTCATTTGATCGATCTGAATTAAGTTTTTAGATTAAAATTATTAAGTTCAATTTGTGTGGCATTCAATTAAGAAGAGTCAAGGATATGTTATATAAGAATTATCTTGAAAATATTACTATTTTATGGTTTATAAAGTTGAAAGCTATTTTCTTTTTGTTTTCATTGATTATGGAACAAAAATCGCCAACAGAAAAGATGGTTATTCAAGAAATTTGCAGGAATTTGAAAATTAATTTCAATTTAGAGCAATAATAATTTTTTAAAACGTTTTCCTCTAAACATAGGGTAAATACTTTGAAATTTGCACAACTTTGCACATGAAAATTTCATTTGCTTGGAACTTTTCAACAGATTATTGTTAAGGCTTAAAAAAACTTTTGAGCTTTTGAAAATTGTGGAAATTTTAATTTGCAAACTCTTTCTGAAAGCTACGATGGATATCAGCACTTGACTTTTGAAATTTGCATGGAAATTTTAAAAATTTGCACAAAAAACTATAACAAAATGGGTTTGAAAAATTATAACAAAATGTAACAAAGGGGGGGGGGGGGGGGGGGGGGTGTCAAGAAGTATTTGTCTTTTTAAAAAAGTTCACGAAAAAAATTTGTTTACAAATTCACACCAAAAACATTTTTTTATTTTTTTAATTTTCCACCTTTTTAATGATTTATGAAAAATTATCAACAAAAAATAAATTATGAACGTTCAGGGGGGTTGGGGGGGGGGGGGGGGGGGGTGAGTTGTAACATATTGTAACAAGGGGGGGAGGGGGTGAAAAAAAGTCGTTTTTTTGCGTAACGTAATAAGTGAACGGCTAAAGACTAATTCTATTTATAAATTCGCAAATTATTATTTTATTTTAATGCCATTTCTTTGCTTAATCATGGATATATCCTTAAGAAACAATTTAACACTTGCTACTTTTAAAATTTGATTCTTTTTTCGGTAAATTTTTAATCGCCGATGATTCTTGAATATTTTTCTCAATTTTCCTACAGTCCCATTTATCGTTATCTTCATTTCAGGCATAAAACATTAATGTTTTGAATCCGAAAAATTAATGTTTATTAAAAAAATTAATGTTCTTGACAAATTTTTGTGCAAATTTTAAAAGTGAAAAACAAGCTTTTTTAAAAGTGATTTTTTGGGCAGTTCCGCATATTCGTTCACAAAAGAAATACTTCCAAAATTTTAAACAGCTTAAGAACTACATTTTTTGATATCAAAATATTTGATAAAGCCACTGATTGTATCCCAAAACCTTATATTTTGCAAAAATTTGTTTTGTATGAAAAATTGATCGCTGAAGGATTTCATCTTCCTGATGCCTTTAGACAACTTAAAATGGTACAACAACATTTGTACAATAATTATACAAAGATTTTGTGAAGAAAGTATTATCAGAAGTGGATATTTTGTGAGAAATTTTTATTTTTTATTTTTATATGAGTGTGCAAATTTTAAAAGTGTGCAATTTTCAAAAGTATTTACCCTATGATTTTAAAGTTTATGTCTATTTAAAATGTTATCATATTCACACAAAATTTTCAATTATGCAAGTATGCATTAAGTTAAATGTATGTGAAAAAATGTTGGAACTAGCGAGCTCCTTCACAAGATTTAGCTTATTGGATCTATGTTATTGAATACATACTTTACTTGTATCATAATTGAAATATGTTTTTGGTTCCAGCATTGATTTTTTTCTTGCTGTATACTTACTGGATCTTGGTTCCAACGATAGCACAATTTCAATTTCAATTTTAGTGGACTGGATTTAATTTTAAATGACAAATTAAATTATTTAACCAATTTTTCACAATGATCTCTCAATTTCAACAAATTGTCAAAGCCCACTAAGAATTTTTTCTTATTTCTTAATTATAAAAAAATTGAAATTGAAATTGTCAAAGCCCACTTAGAACTTTTTCTCAAATTTTACTGGATCTTGGTTCCAAGTTTCAGACATGCTTAAAACTTTACTGAATCTAGGTTTATTGTTTCAGACATGATTAAACCTTTACTGGACCTTGTTTTTAAACCTCAGACATGATTAAAACTTAACTGGATCTAGGTTTTAAGTTTCAGACATGATTTAAACTTTACTGGATCTTGGTTCCAAGTTTCAGACATGCTTAAAACTTTACTGAATCATAATGATTTGTTGCAGACATGATTAAAACATTACTGGATCTTGGTTTTAAGCTTCAGACATGATTAAAACTTTACTTGATCACGGTTTTAAGTTTCAGACATTCTTAAAACTTTACTGGATCTTTGTAATTTGTTGCAGACATGATTAAAACTTTACTGGATCTTGGTTTTAAGTTTCAGACATGATTGAAACTTTACTGGATCTTGGTAATTTGATGCAGACATGATTGAAACTTTACTGGATCTTGGTTTTAAGTTTCAGACATGATTGAAACTTTACTGGATCTTGGTTCAAAATTTCAGATATGCTTAAAACTTTACTGGATCATTGTAATTTGTTGCAGACATGATTAAAACTTTACTGGATCTTAATTCCAAGTTTCAGACATGCTTAAAACTTTACTGAATCATAATAATTTGTTGCAGACATGATTAAAACATTACTGGATCTTGGTTCCAAGTTTCAGACATTCTTAAAACTTTACTGGATCTTGGTAATTTGGTGCAGACATGATTGAAACTTTAAAGAACTTGGTTTTAAGTTTCAGATATGATTAAAACTTTACTGGATCTTGGTTTTAAGTCTCAGACATTCTTAAAACTTCACTGGATCATGGTTTTAAGTTTCAGACATGATTAAAACTTTACTTGATCTTGGTTTTAAGTTTCAGACATGATTGAAACTTTACTGGATCTTGGCTCCAAGTTTCAAAAATAATTAAAATTTTATAAGATCTTGGTGTTAAGTTTCAGACATAATTAAAATTTTACAGACTCTTGGTTTTGAGTTCTAGACATGGTTAATTTTCAATTCTTGGTCGATCCATTTAAAAATCCAGTACGATCTGTTACCTATAATAATAATAATGTGTGAAGGGCCCAGCCTTTCAGTTGGAGGCACTGCGATTCAAATGAGAACAGAACCTATTGTACCACACCCTTTAAGGACTCAAATTAGTTTTAAATTATTTACAATTTGTAAGATTTATTTATTTTCTAATCTTTCATCACAATTTTTTGACTTTTTACAATTTTAGTTTTCATATGAACAATAGAAAATAAAATGATGTTTAGTTCCTTACTGCACTGCATGGATGAGTTGAAGTCATTTCTTTTCTTTTATTTACCATTGCTTGGCGTATGAGTAAGCTGATGGGTAAGCAGCATAGCTGTAGGCCTTTGGTGCGTAGACTGGAGCTGAGTAAGCAAGTGGAGCTGAAGCGTATGTGTATGTTGGTTCAGCAACAACTGACTTGGCATAGTATGCTGGCTCTGAAACGTATGACTTGGCAACAATTGGTTCAGATGCGTATGTGTATGCTGGTTCAGAGACGTATTGCTTGGCGTAATAAGGCTCAGCGATGTATTGCTTAGCAACTGGAACAACAGCTGGAACATGTTCTACAACCTTCTTGACGACTGGGGTTGAGATGTATTTCTTTTCGACTCCATGAGCGTAGATTGGTTCAACAACGCTAGCGTGTCCATGGACGACTGATGAGCTATGATGTGAGACTCCAGTTGGGACATTTTTGTATGATGTTCCTACATGGCTGACTGTTGGGGTTTCAACGACTGAAACATGTGGTTCAACAATAGTCTTTTCGTAGGCAACTGAAGCTGGAACATATCCTGCGAATGCAGCAGCAACTAAACATGACAACACCACCAATTTGAACATTTTGAATTAAGTTTTTTTGTTTAAAAGGTCTGTGTTGGATATAACAAATTGAATTCTGTAAGTTGAATGATACATTTTGATCAATTCCCAATTGCTTATATACTATGTATGATCATATTTTCCGGCTTAATACTGTGTACGTAAAATAACAAAGAAAGTATATTTCTTTTTCTTCTTAATTATTATTTTTTTCATTGGTGTACGAAGTTTTGCTATAACATGGCCAAAAAATATTTGCAAAATAATTTTTAACTCTAAAGTTACGGAATTCTTTCAAATTGTTTTTGAAATATTCAGTGATGAATTTTTAAGATCTTTTGATGAAACGGTAAAATTATAGCTTAATTTTCGGAACCAGTAATTTGCTACTAATATCCCATTTCCTGACAACTCAATGAACTGAAATAAGAGGAAATGAAGTTTTAAGGATATATTCAAAAATCGTGCATGGATTATGAACTTTAAAAAATCTTTTTGTAATACAAAAGTTCCTAAAGTTCTGTTAAATAAAACTTTTTATTGTAAAGTCAGATAAAATTATTTAATTTGAAATGATAAAATTTAATTTAAATACTGTGAATCAAGTTCCATAATTTAAATTCATTTCTCATTTAATTTTCAATTTTTACGGAAATTTCTAAAATTTTTATGCTTAAGTATTAGCCATCATGCGAATGTCACCATCAAACTTCTTATTTTTGATCAAATTTCAACGAAACAATTGCCTCTAATTGGCTACACATTTTCAAAAACATTATTTTATAAAAAAGCTTTCAAGTTCAAGGTCAATCGCCAAGCCTTTTGTGGCTGTGTTAAAATATACTGCCGTACACCACTGACAAAAATTACGAAAATATACTTTCTTTGTTATTTTACGTACACAGTATTAAGCCGGAAAATATGATCATACATAGTATATAAGCAATTGGGAATTGATCAAAATGTATCATTCAACTTACAGAATTCAATTTGTTATATTCAACACAGACCTTTTAAACAAAAAAACTTAATTCAAAATGTTCAAATTGGTGGTGTTGTCATGTTTAGTTGCTGCTGCATTCGCAGGATATGTTCCAGCTTCAGTTGCCTACGAAAAGACTATTGTTGAACCACATGTTTCAGTCGTTGAAACACCAACAGTCAGCCATGTAGGAACATCATACAAAAATGTCCCAACTGGAGTCTCACATCATAGCTCATCCGTCGTCCATGGACACGCTAGCGTTGTTGAACCAATCTACGCTCATGGAGTCGAAAAGAAGTACATCTCAACCCCAGTCGTTAAAAAGGTTGTAGAACATGTTCCAGCTGTTGTTCCAGTTGCCAAGCAATACATCGCTGAGCCTTATTACGCCAAACAATACGTTGCAGAACCAGCATACACATACGCATCTGAACCAATTGTTGCCAAGTCATACGTTTCAGAGCCAGCATACTATGCCAAGTCAGTTGTTGCTGAACCAACATACACATACGCTTCAGCTCCACTTGCTTACTCAGCTCCAGTCTACGCACCAAAGGCCTACAGCTATGCTGCTTACCCATCAGCTTACTCATACGCCAAGCAATGGTAAATAAAAGAAAAGAAATGACTTCAACTCATCCATGCAGTGCAGTAAGGAACTAAACATCATTTTATTTTCTATTGTTCATATGAAAACTAAAATTGTAAAAAGTCAAAAAATTGTGATGAAAGATTAGAAAATAAATAAATCTTACAAATTGTAAATAATTTAAAACTAATTTGAGTCCTTATTGCATGCTTAGCATTCAAATCGCATTTCTTCAAAAAGCTTAAAGATTTCAGAAACATTGTTGAATACAATCACGTCGCTAATCACTAAAAGGAGATTTTATGAATGGTTGTATGTTAAGGCTTCAAAATTGCAGCTTATAGAGTGTGCATACAAGCGGATATAATAGCATGGGCTCAAATTTTTCCATCGCAAATTCACAAAATCTAGTTCAAGTTCAATTGTAATTTTTAAAGCAATTTTTTTCCTGTGTTTTAGAAGAATTGACTTAGTTCAGGAAGGTAAATGAGAGCAAGGTCATAAAATTCACTAATGACTGCTGATATTTTTTTACGAGATCATGATTTATATGGGTTGGGTAATTGAATTGTTTGCCTTTTCCTTATACTTAAGAATTATCACAAGAAGTAGAACACATTATTGGATTTCAGATCAATTCTTTTAAAAATTGGCACAAGATTTACCAAAGTAAGTTCAGAAACAACAGCACTAATGCTTACTATTTGCCAGACAAGCATCAAACAAATTTGATTTGCAACACACAACGACACACATGCGAATCTTAAAAAGAAGAAGATTACGGATTAAAGTATATCGCAATGACAACGTGTCGATTATATTGATGACATTACATTAATTTGTCATATTATTCTGTTACACAATATTTTGCAATAAAGACATTAACTCCTATAAACTCTACGTTTCATGTGAACTTCTTTTTTGAATTTAATATTATTATTATTATAAGTCTGAATGAGCATCGTTGCACACAAAATTAAATGTGTATGAATATTTTATGGAAAAAATATAAATCGGACATGATGCAACGTGAATATAACAAAAAAAAATGTGCAAGGACGTTACGAAATTCTCATCCATTAGACTTCTTTTTGTTTTACTTATTTTTTTTTGTGTGTGTAGCATGATCATAATAGATTTATTGTAACGTCGCTATTGATTTGTTACTACTGTTTAATTGCCAAGTATTTACTTACATATTCCGTTTGCAGGCACATAAACAAATCGCAGGAAAAAAAAGTTACAAAAAAATAATGCAAGAGAAAAAAAAGAGATACATTTTTTGCATTATTGAATGCCCATGCACAAACAGTATTCAATTCACAATGGTAATAAGTAAGTAAAGTATTAGGTTGAGAGCCTACTAATTGGAATTTGCATGCAGAGTTGATGTGATTTCATTGAAACATCCAGTGAATTTCTATAGAAGTTAATAGATTCAGCTTGAAATCATTATTGTGTATGATAACTTTGAGTTTGACAGGAACTCACAAGGCATCAATAATGAGTCAGTAACTCAATTTTCAATAATATCTATTATAAAATGTTGAAATTTCCATGCTTCTCGAACGATCTTGATTATACCAAAATTATTAAACCAAACCCCACCAAGTCAAGTCATACATGACAAAAATCACATTGGATGTCAATGAAAATTTTTGGATTTCCCAATCTATTGAATTTTCATGCCCAACTCACAACCCTGATCAGACAAAATAAAAGACATTTCGTAATATCTAATCTTAATCAATCAATTCTCATAATTGTTTTAGCTTTTTTGTGTCTGTTTTGTAATGAGACATGAAACATGATATGCAGCATACAAAGGTAGAGTTGAGTCAATCAAAGAGAGAGAGAAACAATAAATTTATAATTTCCTGAATGTTCTTAAGTCCCACGATCACAATCGCCAATTATTAACCTCATATATAGAGCGAATTAAGTAACTTAAGTGCTGAAAAATTAAGACATATAAGGAAGAAGAGAAGTTGGAATTGAAAAACAGAAATATTTAAATTTTTTTTCAGTACATTTGTCATATTTTCCATATGATTTATTTTCTAATCTTTCATTTGAAAATTTCATCACAATTTTTTAAATTTTTGAACAATAGAAAATAGAGATGGATGTTTTGAGCATTACTTGGCCACTACCAACATGATGGATCTAAATTAATTTACCAGTGGTGAGCGTATGATGCAGCTGGGACTGAGTAAGCGGCTGGGTAAGCAGCATATCCGTAAGCCTTTGGTGCGTAGACTGGAGCTGAGTAGGCAAGTGGAGCAGCATGAGCGTATGTGTATGCTGGGGCAGCAACAACTTGTTTGGCGTATGCGTATGCTGGTTCAGCAACGTATTGTTTGGCGTAGTAAGGTTCAGCGATGTATTGCTTGGCAACTGGAACAACAGCTGGAACATGTTCTACGACTTTCTTAACAATTGGAGTTGAGATGACTTGCTTTTCGACTCCATGAGCGTAGATTGGTTCAGCAACTGTCTTGCTGTGGAATTGAGTTTGTGATTGGTATGAGGTTGCTGATGGGAAGGTCTTGACAACTGATCCTACATGGCTGACTGTTGGGGTTTCAACGACTGAAACATGTGGTTCAACAATAGTCTTTTCGTAGGCAACTGAAGCTGGAACATATCCTGCGAAGGCGACGGAAACTAAACATGACAACACCACCAATTTGAACATTTTGAATTAAGTTTTTTTGTTTAAAAGGTCTGTGTTGGATATAACAAATTGAATTCTACTGAATGAATGATACAATTTGAGTCAAAGTATTTTCTTTTTATACTCATGATCATGGTAGTTACTGAAAGATATATTTTTTCATACGATACATGTTTACTTGCCTCCTATGCGGTAGTAGACCTCTCTCAAATATATTTCCCTCCAAAATTAATATAGCTGCTGTGTTGCATATAACAATCCACAACAATACGATGATGATGACGACAATTTTCATTTTGCAAAACGGTATGAAGCAGTGCCATGTGATACAAATACAAACGTCCAATGTATTTACGATACTTTTCCGTCTTTACATAGCTTGAGAGATACACAAAACTTCTGGACTGTAAGTTTGTATACACAACTGAGCAACAACGAAATAATGACCATGAATATGTACAAGAAATACAGTAAATTAAATTTATTTGTTGCTCATTAAAAAAATATTATTTCAATGTATTTTTCACATCGGCACACGCCACTTTTACACCACATAGTCTTTTCAAGAAACAACAGTCATTAAATCTAAGATATATTAAGTACACAGTATTAACTTTTATTGTTCCTGGTTCCAGCATTCTTTTTCTCTCTCTGTGTCGATCGAATCAAACCGGTTCAAGTACCTTTACATGGATTGACTCTCTGTGACTCAGAGATATTAATGATTCTATAAATTTAAGTCGAATAATAAGCTCTATTATAAGCCCACGATCGATGTGTGACGAAAATAGATATCTAGTTTAATTGGTTCTGAGATTTTATTTTTATTTTTTTTGGCATCTAAGCATCTGGTCGACCAGGATGAGAATAAAATAAGAATTTGACAGTTGAAGGAACTAGTTGACATCTGATCAAGGATATAAAATTATACGTTTAGGTATGCGACCCATTTTAAGTGGATTATGTAATAAAAACTTATAATTAAGATTAATTATCGTTTTTTAATGTTCTAATTAGACAAGCTAATTATTTTGAATTGCTTCTTAATAACTTCATAAAAATCATATTCATATTTTAATCGTATTTTTTTAATGGTATTCAAGAGAAGAATTTGCAGGTATTGTGCATGATTTGCTAAAAATATTTGAATTAAAATCTCAGTCAAAAATCCTTCAGGAGTCATGATTTGACGAAAATTTGTTAATTTATCAAAATTTCAATACAATGTGACCACTGCATTGCTCTTATTAAGACATTGGAATTTTTGATGTGGCAGCATGAATTCTTTTATTGTAGTTTGCAATTTGAATTAAGCAATTAAGTAATGTAAGGAAATTTATGAGAACCCGCATTAATTGTAGCTCCAAGAACATACGTGTCATTATTAACGTGGCATAACCATTAGCAATTTTATAGATCTGTTGCAAATCCAAAGGGGGAATACTAGACTAAAGAAAACTTGATGCAATATGCGCGCAACTTTATGACGTTTTGTTGTAATTTACCAACTGCTGGGAAAAAAAACAGTAAAATCATTTTTACACATCAGCTTATATATGCAGTTAACATGCAGTGTGAATTGATCTTCGACAATAAATGTTCCTCGTTAATTTCCTGGACGGGAATTTCAAAAGAATAAGAACGTAATGAGGAAATTGTAGAATTGATTAAAAAAATTACAAAAATCCTCGTGTTATTGATCGAGGAACTTCAGCGCATTTTTGACGCAGCGATCAGTATTTGATTATCTAATTATTTTGCGTTCGTTTACAGATCATAAGAAGATTAGAAGATCATTCATTTTTGTGTAATTAACAAATAATTATAATGAATGCTTATATAAGAAAAACTTTATTATTTAACGATCAATAAATAATTTGAAATTTTGTGTACTAAAAGTTGCACTACGAAAAAATTAATTGTAGTATAATTAATAATTTGTTACAATGAATTTCCATACAGAAAGGGTTTATCATTTCCAGGTTTTTTGAAATTCAAATTTTACAACGGCTAGAAAAAATTTGAAATTATAGAGGTAGTGTTGAATTTTTTAAACGTAGTCATCACGTGGTTTTGTTTATGATATAAAAAAATCATTAATTATAGTAAAATTACACTGTTTCATGACTTTTAACTGTTGGATCGGTCAATAAATCAATAGTAACGGAGCAAATAAAACCAACCTGAGCTCTCTACGATGTCTGGTTAAAAAGTTTTCTTCAGACGAACGAACGAACAAAGTGCATTATTAAGCTCCCTTTTTGTATGTATACTTGTATATGTACGCTAAAAAAAGCACCTTTGGTTAATGGTTGTTTGTGATTTTATGTCTGGAAAGATTTTACTGTTAAAGTTTAAGGAAGAGATAATGAATAATTGTGGAGATATATTGAGGTTTGCAGTTTAGATAATAAGAACTGATTTATATTCTTATGAAGACTTACACATGATTGAAACTCCTTCATCATTGATTGATATCATGCCTGTCTAGAATAATTTTAATTTTTAC